GTTGTGGTGTTGGAGGAGAATACTGAAAGTGCCATGGACTGCCAAAAGAACCAGCAGATCTGTTCTGGAAGAAGTGCAGCCAGATTGCTCCTTGGAGGCCAAGATGGCTAAGCTTCGCATCTCATATTTTGGACATATTGTCAGGAGGGAATAGTCACTCGAGAAGGATGTCATGCTGGGTAAGATGGAGGGTCAGAGAAAAAGAGGAAGACCCCAATGAGATGGATCAGCCTGGTGGCATCATTGATGGAATCAAGTGTGGCAGCGGTAGTGAGGTTGGCCCAGGATTGGACATTGTTTCGTTCTGCTGTGCATGGGGTCACTATGAGTCGGTTCCGACTCGATGGCACCTGACAACAACAACAACATACACTGGAAGCTAGCCATGCTTCTCTCTAGGTGGTAGAGATAACTTCTCTTAGGCTGATTGCCTTAATTTTATAGGTACTTTTATTTTCCCTCTTGGTCCTTATTTGCATTTTGTATTTTTTCTACAGTGACCCTGTATGACTACTATAAGAAAGCAGTGCTTTTTTACTGAAGGTAGCAGTCATCAAGTAAGATTAAAGGACATGCTATCATAAAGGAATACCTCATGGAGCAGTGAAAGTACTGGAGAACATTTTGGGGACACAGGGTGACTTGAGGCTGAGGTTTCCCTCAGGGTTCCGAATTCTCCTGGTGAGTGGTTGGTGGGATGATACAGCCTCAGCCCATGCATCCCTGTCCACATTGAGAATCAAGAACAGATTTCAGCCAACCCTGTCCTGAGACTGGCTCCTTGCCTAGGAAAATGGACTCATATCAACCCCACACGGAGCTAACCCACAGGGCATGTGAATGTGTAGGGGGAGGAGGACAGAGAGCCATGAGATGCCTTCTCAGGCAAGGTTCAAAGGATGGAATCTGAGCCAGAGATCTGGAGGAAGAAGAACAGAGCAGCCATGCCCAGGACAGAGCACAGCGCCCTCTGCACACCCGGATGCCCACATTGGCCACACATGGCTTCATCACTTCCTCACAATAACCCTGCCACAGAGGACCACTTGTTACAGAGGAGGAAACTGAGGCTCAGGGGAGGAAAGAAAGGTCCTTGCTTAAGGCCACACAGATGGTGGGCGGCAAGATTCAGAAGCTTTCTTTCAACTGCTTTATCCTCCTTCTACACATATGCGCATGCATTCACACACACACACTGATATAAAGAGAGAGAGAGAGATGAAGAGGGAGAGAAGGAGGGATGGAGAGAGAGGGAAATGGAGAGAGAGGAGAAGGGAGAGAAGAAGGAATGTGGGTGAGTAGCGGGAGCTAAAGGAATAGTTTTCATGAGGGAAATGTCCTGTCCTGATTTTCTAAGGCCAACTTTTTCCGTAAGTGGCCAGGCAGCAAACTTTTCATGCTTTGTGGACAGTACGTATGAGTTGTCTTATAGCTACTCAACTGTGTGGTGGTCGTGTGAAAACAGCCACAGACAATATGGGAGAGAAATGGGAGTATTCTGGTTAAAACTCTATTTTTACATGATGCCATTGAAATTTCATGGAATATTCATGTGTCACAAATATTCTTCTTATTCATCTTTTTTTTTTTTCTCTTAGCAATTAAAAAATGCAAAAAAACATTCTTAGTTCATGGGGTCATATGAAAACAGGAGGCAAGCCAAATTTGGCCTGAAGTCTCTAATTTGCCAACCTAGAAGTCTAGAAGGTCAGGTTCAAAGAATGGTGACATCATCATGAGCTTTTTGCTTAATTGCAGGTCTCACAGAATAAGTCACCTGGGAAGAGGCCCAACTTTGGAGCTAACTTAGGGTCTCGCAAAGGTTGGAAAGTCCAAAAGGCAGGTGAGCCACGATACCTCAGTGAACAGGGCTGAAACACAAACGTGTTTGTAGCTCACAGGAAAAGCACTTCCGAGGATATCAGAATTAAGTTGAATTGTGTCCCCCAACAGTCATGTTGAAGTCCTAATCCCTGATACCTACTAATGTGACCTTAAAGTCTGGAATTAGGATTTTTGAAGATGTTATCAATTAGGTTAATTTGAGATCATATCAGAGCAGGTGGATCCTAATTCACTCTGGGTGACATCTTATGAAAGAACATAAGACAGACAGAGAGAACATAACACAGACAGACATAAGGCAACCACATGAAGAAGGAATTCAGCTGCAGGTGCAAACTGAGGAACTCCAGGGGCTCAAGAAGCTGAAGTGACAAAAAACAATCTTCTCCTAGAGACTTGGGAGAGAACATGGCTCTGCTGACACCCTGACTTTGGACTTCTAGCCTAAGACATTTAATTCCTGTGGTTTAAAGCCACTCAGTGTGTGGTACTTTGCTTCGGCAGTCGCAGAAAGCCCATACAGAGCCTCAGAGATCAGCCAGGATTGTGAAAAATCACTCAATTTGTGAAAATCCAGGATCCTCACCCTCCAGGCCTACAGAACGACTCTCTCAGGCAGGGGGGCCCAGGCATCAATGCTTTTAACAAATTTACCACAGCCAAGTCTTTATTAGTTGGGAAACAAGTAAGGCCCTTCTCTGTGGCTTAATTTCTTCATCTTTAACACAGGGGCAGGCCCTCCCTTACAGGGCTGGTAGGACAACATAATCTCAGCCCAGGGCTTGGCACACAGCCAGGTTCAACTAGTGCTCACTGGACTGTAACACTTGTTGGTCTCAACCTTGTATTTCACACATGGGGGACCTGGCAACCAGGTGCTTTGAGCTGGGCGGCTGGGTCACGGGTTGGCTCTTCCCATTGGGCCTTGGATTCCTCACCTGACACGAGTGTCAGAGAGCCCCTGAGCATTCTCGGGTGGTGGCATGATGCCCGTGGCCTGCCCGCCTTACCTTCGTTGCTCTCGCCGGGTGGGTGGTAGAAGGAGAGTCCCAGGGAAATGATGGCTGCGATTTCCAGGATGATCAAGGTCACATCTTGCAGGGCTTCCCAAACGAGCTGCAGGAAGGTTTTTGGCTTCTTTGGAGGTATGAAGTTTTGCCCGAAAATCTGCTTTCTCTTTTCCAGGTCTGGAGCGGTACCAGGCAAACCTGTGGACAGAGTGCAGAGAGGTTGGCTGGAGGGCCTGGGAGAGACGAATGCATTTCTGGGAATCACCCTGAGTGGTGGTGGGATACTGAAGCAGGAAAGTGGCAGGTACCTACCCTAGGAACACAGCATCCAAGGTGAAATATGAGATACCAGGTCACGGCTTGAATGGTGGTCTCCTAATATCCCTAATACTCAGAACCTGTGAATGGGACCTTATTTGGAAAATGGGTCTTTGCAGATGTAATTAAGTTAAAGATCTGGAGATGAGAACCCTCCTGGAATATTCAGGCAGGCCCTAAATCCAATGACAAGTGTCCTTATAAGAGACACACAGAGAAGAGGAGAAGGCCCTGTAAATACAGGAGTAGAAGTGTCAGTAATGCAGCCACCAAAAGCTGGAAGAGACGCAAGGACAGGATTCTCCCCAAGGGGCTTGGAGGGCGCATAGATTTCAGACCTGTGGCTGCAGAGGTAACGGAGAATCCATTTCGGTGGTAAACCAAGGCACCACTGTACCCTATTCACCCCACACCTCTACTTCTGCTTTGGGTTTCTGCTTGCCTTCCCTGGTGAGCACAGCTGGTTAACCTCAACAGGGTTCAAGTCCCAGCCTGACGCCTTTCGTTCCCTGAGCCTCAGGTTCCTCTTCTGTAACGGGACAATGGTTGGGAGCAGTACATGAGGTAATTTGTGCACCAATAATTACTACGTGAGCATCTACTATATATTTCAGACACTGGGACAGAGCAGCAGACAAAACAGAGCCTGTCTCTAAGAACAGCCAGGGGCTGGGAAGCAGTGGCTTCATTAGTACCAGCAGTTATGACCTTGGTTTACGGAGAGTAAAATGAGTGTAGTGAGGTAAAACCTTGTATGTGAGCAGACAGAGTCCACTTCTAGTCCACCATTTATTCATGTCTAGACAATTCTTCCACAGTCCCACTGTCCGATCCTCATTCCCCTCAGGGGCTTCTAGCTGTTTTCAGAATAACGCTCTCATCCTGCAGCCTGGCACTTGGCCTCTAGCCCTGACTCCTGGGCTGTGATATGCCGTCTCACTATTTACCCACTGGGGTCGGCCAGTTGATATAGGCTGATGTGTTAGAACCTAACCCCTGGGCCATGGGACAAACTTGCTTCACATACCACGCTTTGCCCATGCTGTTCAGCCTGCCAGGAACCCCCTTTCCCTCATTCTCCCCCAAGTGCACCCTGTTTTCAGGCCCTCTCCACTGAGGAGCTATTTCCCCTCCATTGAGCAGGGGGTGCTTTCTCCCCATTTCTGTAGCACAGCCTTTGTCACATCAGGTTACTGGTTAACCACAACAGCTTCCCTCCTGGGTGCTGTTATTGGGGAATAGACTGGGCCTGATTCTTGTCCTTCAGGGCTAGGCACTCCAGGTCATCAACTGCCCTAGAAATCTTTTACCCACTGAAGGCAGTTGATGTGTCTGTGTGTAGGAACCTGGAACAGGGTGCCACTGCAGAGACGGCAGTGCGAATGGGCCAATGGCATGCCAGTCTTGCCACTATGTCAGCTAAATGAAGGAAGCTGGGGAAGGGGCACATCCCCTTTGTTGGACTTCCTGATAAGGGAGCATCAGGAGGAGCTCCCAGAACAGTACTGCTAACATGTTGGTGTTAGAAGACTGGAACATTCTGATATTACATTTTTGGGGACCTATTTGAAGACAGCTACCTGGCCAATAGACTGGAAGAGATCCATATCTGTGCCCATTCCAAAGAGAGGTGACCCAACAGAATGTGAAAACCATAGAACAATATAATTAATATCACATGCAAGCAAAATTTTGCTGAAGATAATTAAAAAATGGCTATCACAATATATCAACAGGGAACTGCTAGCAGTTTATGCTAGATACAGACGAGGACATGGAAAGAGAGATGTCATTGCTGATGTCACATGGATCTTGAATGGAAACAGAGAATGTCAGAAAGATGTTTACCTGAGTTTTACTGACTTTTTTTTTTTTTAAGTTTTATTGACTATTAAAAGGCTTTCAATTGCGTGCATCATGACACGTTACGGGTAACATTGAGAAGAATGTTTTCCAGAACACTTAATTGTGCTCTTGAAGAACCTGTACATAGACCAAGGGCTACTGAATGGTTTTAAATCAGGAAAGGTGTGCGCCAGGGTTGTAGCCTTTCCCCATAGTTACCTGATCTGTATGCTGAGCAAATAATCCAGGAAGTTGGACTGTATGCAAAAGACTATGACATCAGGATCGGAAGAAAACTCATTAACAACATGTGATATGCAGATGATACAGCCTTATTGCTCAAAGTGAAGAGGACTTAAAATATTTACTGATGAAGATCAATATGGGTTGCACCTCAATGTAAAGAAAACAAAAATCCTCACAACTGGGTCAATAAATAACATTATGATAAATGGAGGAAAGACTGAAGTTGTCAACACTTCATTTTGCTTGGCTCCACTATCAACACTTATGGAAGCAGCAGTCAAGAAATCAATCGACCATTTTGGCGACTCCAGGTGGCCAATGGAGGCTCCAGCCAGGTCTAGCTGCCAACTCTGCCGGCTAAGGGCCCCTTACTGAGCTCCCAGACTGTCTTATGCACATGGTCGTCCTGCTCCTCCAATGAAAGGCGAGCTTCAAAGAAAAGCCCAAAGGGAGAATTTTGCAAGACGAGTTGTATTTCTGTCACAGGAAATGGAAGCTGGATTACAGGCATGGCAACTCAACCAGCAGCAGAAATTATGGGAAGAAGAAAGGAAACATAAAAATGCTCTTAAACTCAAAGGGGCTTCACTATGGAGCCCACTTTCAAGTCGTTAAAAAGCAATTCTTTTTTTTTTCCTCATCTCATTACCAAGATACAAATTTTATTTTAAATACTGATGATATTTTAGTTACAAATATAGTTGTGGCAAATATAAGGGGCTTCCAAAAGTTCAAGGAAAAATCGCATTAACTTTTTTTATTTTTATTTTGGATTGAGTGAAAGTTTACAGGGCACATCATCAGCTTCACATTGAACCATTCATATAGCTTGTTTCATTACATTGATTATTATCCCCTCCATATATCATCAGTTAACAGTGTTTCT